AAAAAAAAAGAAAAAAGAAAAGAAAGAGAGAGAGAGAGAGAGAGAGAGAGAGAGAGAGAGAGAGAGAGAGAGAGAAGAAAGCAGGCTGAGCAAGCCATGTGTAGCAAGCCAGTAAGCAACAGCCCTCCATGACCTCTGCATCAGCTCCTGCCTCCAGGCTCCTTGAGTTCCTGTCCTGACTTCCTTCAATGATGGATTATGATCCAGACATATAAGCCAAATAAACCCTTTCCTCCCCAACTTGCTTTTGGTCGTGGTATTTCGTGGCAGCAATGTGACCCTAACTAAGACACACTACAACAGGAAAGAGAGGATGCAGGATGGCAGTGGCCTGGGACAGGAGAAGGGAGGGGGTGTCCAAGCTCTGACTTGCCTGCTCCATTTGGGAAGAACAAAGCTCTGCAGAGGGTGAGTGTGGCTCCCCAATGAAACAAAAAGACAAGAGACCACACATGGGGATGTCACCACACAGAACTGTCTCAATGAAAATGATTGTGCTGGCAAGTTCTATTTTACATATCTTCAGCCAGAATTGGAAAAAAAAAAAAAAAGGAAAAGAAAAAGGAAAAAAAAAAAGACCTGAGCATGTTTGCATTCACTTTGGCATTTTAAAGAAAAATAAAATCATCATGACAAAAAAAAAAGAAATAACTAAAAATAGGAAGAAGAAAATGTAACCTACAAAGGTTCAAAAGAATTCAGCTTTTATTTTTTTGGGGGGGGGGCTTTTTTATTTTTTTATTAAGAAATTTTTTCATTCATTTTACACACCAATCAAAGATCCCCCCTCTTCCTTCCTCCCACCCCTCCAGCCAAGAAAAACTACTCAGCTGATGAAGGATGTACAGAGACATGTTGGTTTTAACTATTTTTAATGTATTAAAAAATGGCACAGAGGACACAGGGTAGATGTATGCTCTGTCTCCGGTCAGCAGACTGTGAGGTGAATCACAGAAGCACTGATGGCCTGTGAATGACCTACCACATCCTCTCCTGAGGATGCTCTGCCCAAAGAAGGCTCTGCTGGGAGAGTCAGGGCAGGTGTGCTACAGCCAGGTGTCATGGGAACAGCACAGAAGAAACACACTGAGCATGGATGTCAGACTGACTTGAAGGATGACTCTTGAAGTATGTTTACTCTCTGCTGATCTAGGCACACACACACACACACACACACACACACACACACACACACACACACACACACCCTGCACCCGTTCCCTTCTGGTTCTCAGAGGAGAAATCTCTGGTAAGAGGACCAGCAGAGAAGTGGGATGCCTGGAACTCACCAGGCTTCGGAAACCAGAACAGAGAAAGGCAACTCATTCAACACTTTCCACAGCATGGTGGGAAAGGCTTCCTCCCAAAAGTAACATCTGGAATAAAGACATGAAAGGCATCAAAAACAAATCCCATGGCTACCTAGAGTGAGGACATTTGTGGGACAGAAGCGGCAGCAAGGACAGAGCCAGACAGGAGAGCTGGGAGCATGTCTGAGGAGGAGCATGGGTAATTGGAGACTGGCTGGAGTGAGAGATAGTAGGAGGCTGAGCAGGGTCACATGGGGTCAGACAATGGGTAGCAGCTGAGAACGCTTGAGCAGAGGGTGGATGAGAGCTGACTCGTGTCCCTGGTATTGCTCGACCTACTTTGTTGAGACTAGACCAGGCTACATCCAAGTAATTGGAGAAGCAGCGAGAAGTGCCTTGCTGGAAATCACCTAAGATGCCAGGCACATTTGGGGAAAGCCACAGGAAGGCAGACCCCAGCAGAGCAAGTCTCTCCCATTCTAGCCCAGAGAGAACTCTCCAGGATCCCAGAATCTCCCAGTGTGGTCCTTAGTACCTGGAGACAGCTGTCCTTGGTACCTCCCCTTCAGAGAGCACACAGCAACCGCATCTTGAGAACACAACCGCCTCTATCTATAACGGTTCTTAACAAATAATTTTGAATTCACTAGGGACAAAATTCAAGTGGGGAACAGGTGTTGACATCATCATCACTTAACACAGAAAGAAAAGTTTGTGTTGGTGAGTACACACACACACACACCAGTGTACAGGCCCAAACTAGGTCACCATGCCACCTTCTATGAGCTTAGGCAAGCCTTCAGTCCCTAGGAGGGAGACACAAGGTTTATCATGAACCAAGCCTTTGCTGTTGTGTTCAGTCTTGATTCTGCCTCCTGCTTGCTGCTGACATCGGTCACATTGTCTCATGCCTTGGTCCTAACAATGCTTTGGTCCCAATAATGCCCTTGAGCTGAGGGGCTCATAAATGGTAGAGATTTCTTCAGGATGCTAGGAAGAACATGAGCATGGGATGAGTATCTGCTGAGGGCCATCATGCTGGGCCAGCTTGGGGAGGAGCCTGGAAGAGTAAGAGAAGCAAGAGAGGGTAATCTCCACCAGTGCTTGCCATGACTCATGACAACGTTCACGCATCCCTAAAGGTCTGTCATTAGGCCCCACCCTAGCACTGTGTCATTGGTGATTAAGCCTCCAGAACATGAACTTCAGGTGGCCCATCAACCCTCAGCACCCAGTCTCTCTATTAATCTATCTCCTCATCTATGAGGTACACATTAAAAACACCAGCCTCCTACGACAGCTCTGGCCCTTTAGTGAGATATGAGTGAAGACTCTGGAAGCAATGCCTGATGGGTAACAGCTGCCCTTGGCCAAGATCAGAGCCCCTTTCTCGGGTCTTCCATGTGAATCTCCACCTCCAAGTCACATAAGAGCTCTGAGAAGTTTGAGATCTCATGGCCAACACCTAAACCTTCTTCCACACTTCTTGGTGCTCAAATCCAAGAATTGAGAGGGGAGTTCTAGGCCTACCTGTCTGCTACCCCTTCACAGTAACATAACTGATGGTGTTGCCTCCAGCCCACTCAGGGATCACTTCCCAAATTTCTCCCCATACCCAGGCTGGCTGATTTCCAGGCATTGTGTGATGAATGATGACTACATCCTCAAAAACAGTCAAAAAGTAGGCTCTAGTGTCCCAGATAAACTCTGCCCATTCTCAACACCGCTTTCTTTTGCCTAACCTGGTTCCTAGCCTCTAACAGTATAAAAAGCTCATGGCTCATGAGGATAGCTTCTTGTTTTTCTACATAGCAGACACCAGTAGATACCTATCTAATACCCTACTCATATCCTCCCCTACTAATAAAAAGCCCAATTTTCAAGAGAGTTGTATCACGTCCAACTAAAAAACAATTACAGTTTCTCATCTCATTTGATGCCTGATGTGAGCACACCCAAGAATCCAGCCTTAAGATGAAAACTCAAGCTTGCTAGAGATCACAATGTTACTTTCCTTACCCAGCCAGAGCTCTCACCATCTTTGTTGATGTTTTATTTTATTGAGTCCCATCTGAAACTTGGATGAGAAACAGAAGGAGGGGCAGCTGTGTTGAAACAGGGAGAAGGCTAGAAAAATAAAAATAAAGAATAAAGCATGTGACAGCTCCTGATCCAATAGTATTCCTCTGATTTGCTTTGACACTTCTTCAACAAACACACTCCATGTGCCCACGGCTGGACTCAGGACTCAAGAGTCAACGGGAAGCAAGAGAGATCCAGTCTCAGCTCCCTAACAAGCTCTCAGGCTAGAAAATAGAGCAGATACCCACCCCTTACACAAATGGCGGATTAATTCAACCAAGGCTCGCCCTGGGAAAGCACGGTGCAGGCTGCAACCCAGACAGTGAAACCCCATCTGGAAGCCGAACTTCAGCTGAAGCTAGAACTGGGAGCGAAGCAAGGCTTGGCCAGGCGGAAGGGGCAAGTCAGGGGAAGCAGTGTGTGCAAAGGCCCTGGGGCTGGGAAGCAGCCAACAATCCTAGGTCCCCTGAGCTAACGGGAGAGGCCCAGGCTGGGAGGTACTTAAGTCAGTATCTTCCATATATGAAATTTTAAAATTCTACATTTCATTTATTACGAATGGGAAGGGGAAAAAAAAGTCTCTATAAGGCAGCTGAGACTGAACTTTTTTTCTGGCCCCTTCTTCCCTATTCTCATATGATTCTGACTTCAAACAATCATTTCCTACACTGCCTCAGGCACCTAACCTGAAGCGTCCCTGAAGCTCAGCCAATTACAGCAGTCACTTATTAATTCTCCACTGACAGCTTTCCCTAAGAAGTGGGCCTGAGTGCCTAAGGGACCCAGTATGAAGTGGCGTTGGTACAGCACACACACACACACACACACCCAGACCCTGCCGGAGTAGAGCGCTGGAGAGCAGGGTCCATGGATGAGCTCTCGCTGCCCCCATGCGGTCCAACTACAATAGCCTTGCTCCTTAAAGGGTGGGGGCAGAAGAACCCTGTCAGTCACTCTCTGGAGCGGCTGTCACAGTGGGCTCCGTCCCTCTCTCTGTTGATGCTGTTTGAATACTGTCAACAGTGCCAGCCGATCCCCCGCCCTGCCTGACTGCCTCTGCGACCTCTATTATTTATGACAGAGTGTGAAATTGATTGCGGTTGAAAGATCCACACTGGAGTCAAATGAACTCTTCAATTATTGCCACCCGAATAAACCTCCCTTTCCAGAGGCTCCCCAGGGAGTGGGCATCTCACCCCAGGTTCAAGGTAATAGATATTTCTAGATGGAAAGTGCAGGTGGCTCCATTGTAATGATTGTCAAGTTATAAGATTCTCCAGGTTAAATGACAACCCCCCCCCCCACTCCAACCTTTAACAATTCTGAAGGAAGTATGTACCAGCCTCCTTTCCCAATGTGCCCACACGGCCATCCCCCGGCTGCCTCATACATGACAGATATTTCCATTCTGCAGGCTCTGGTCATTTCCAATCCTTTTTCACAGGAAATATGCAGTAAGTGTTAATGGGGTTACAGAAAGATTAATAGAGCTCTCAGGGTATCCAGGCCTGGCTGGTATTTCTCTAGAAAGCCCTATCCACTCAAGAAAATTTAATGGTGAGACTTAACCCATTAAGACAACAAGCGGACAGCTCCCACCTATCTCGGGCTTCCAGGCTTTTCCATCTGGTGACGCCAAGGTTCCAGTAGGAAGAGAGAGACAGAGTACAGCCACTGAAGCAGGGGGATAGTGGGTTTGACACCAGCCTAGACTACATAATGAGACTATTGTCTGGAAGGAAGAGGAGGAGAGAGGAGGAAAGAAAAAGAGAAGGGAGAGGAGGAGGGGGAAGGGGGGAAGGGAAGGGAGAAGAAGGAGGGGGGAGAGAAGGGGAGGGAAGGAGGGGGAGGGGAAGGAGGGACAAAGAAATAAGGAAACTTCAGGCCTCATTTGACCCACAGCTTCATTCTGCTTAGTACCCAGTGGTTTGGGGAATAAACTTTACCTGGTTTTCCTTGAAATACCTGAAAAACATACAGGATTATACCTGCATTTCTGGTTTAGTGAGATGCTCAGAGGTGCTGCCCCCTTTAGGTGGCAAAAGTTAAGTGCACCCTCAGACACATTCCTGGCTGCTAGCCCAGCTGGTTCCTCTCACTGTCCCTTCCTGGGAACATTTCAATGTGTTTGCCCTAACACTTCCAGGTCACTTCTACGGGACCTGATTAGGAGTCAGGTGATCTGAGAATGAAGGCCTGAGCCTGCATGTTGATCCTCATCCATAAGTTCAGAGGGGTAGTTCCCATACCCGTGTCCAGAAGTCTCAGCACGGGCTTGCTGAGTCCCAGCGCTGTGTGTGGTGCCTGGTACCCACGCAGGAGATGGAAAGCTGCTGGTTGTCTCCTGGAGTTCTTAGTGTCTCCTGCCTGGAGGGTTCACTCACATCTCCTGTTTGTCATTGGTAGTGTCAATGGCCACATTCCAGAGCAGGTAATGCTGATGCAGACCATCTGACCTGCCATCATCAGTTTCTGGAGCAATGGCTTGAGGAGATCAGCTCGGTTCAAACCCTCGAAGAAGTCTTACACTACACACACCACAGAGACACACATGCAACACACACACACAACACACACACACACACACACACACATATCATACCCACATATGCCACACACACACACATACTCAATACACGCCACAGAGACATATGTCACACACAAACATACTACATGCACACACCACACATGCATATATTCAACATACGCATACATATACCACACATGCCGCAGACATAGGCATACAACACTCACACAATGTACTGCAAGTACACACCACACTCACACTCTGATCTCTACCTATCTCTATAATAGGTAAGCCTGACTGACGGGACACACATCTTGAGCTTCTTCACGGTCTGATTTCTGAACGCCCTTCACAGCCTTCTGGGGAAACGCTAGAGCCAACACTTGCCACTGTGTGCCCCGAGTACGCAGGGGAAGGAGACTCCAGATGTGCACAGCTGGGGAAGCTGGCAGGGACCACAGGTCAGTCCTCAGTGCAGATGCCTTCCTTTTAGAAAGCTAGAACAGGGGCTTGGAGGTGTCTCAGCAGTGAAGAGCACTAGGTCTTCAGGAGGGGACTCAGGTTTCATCCTCAGCACCCACATGCTGGCTCAGGAGATCCAGTGCCCTTTGCTGACTTCCATGGGTGCCCAGCATACATATGGTGGGCCCACACACACATGCAGCCAAATGCTCATACACAAATAAATCCCAAAAGAAAGCAAGCTGGACCACCAGAGTCCAAAGTGTATATGCTACATGGGGTTGAATTTAACTCTCACAGCATTTGCTGTGTGGCCTCAGGCAAGTGGCTTACCCTCTCAAACCATGATTTCCTCCTGAAGGTTTCTTGAGAGCCCTATAGAAGCTTTGCTGGGGCTGTGTGATTTCCATCTTTGGGAAGCACATGTGATGTGGTCTGACACTCCCAAAAGACTCTGACATGGAGTGTGGAGTTCTATCACATCTCCTTCCCTCTCTGACGATGGACAATAGCCAGACACTGATAGGGCCATCAATCAGCTCAGGTACCTGAGTGAGGGTATCACATCAGACCCATCCCTACCTGAACCCAGGATGGAGACATCGTGGCAGAAAGCAGTGAACCCTTGTCACTTATAAGGAAGTATATATTGATTCAATCTAACAAATATGAGGTGGCTTGAGAAACAGGAGATGGCCCAGCCCAAAATACAACCACCATCTAGGTAGAAACCCCCCACATAAATAACAACATCCCAGTGACTTCCAAGGAGCTGGCTCAGCAACCAAGCATCACCTTGCATACACACAATCACTCAGGCCACCCATGCACCTTAGGGAACCAGCTGGGGGAGAGGACAACAGTATTAAATGAATGTCTCAGGAGCTGAACTGGCTCCTGAAAGGCCCATGGAAAGAATGTGTGGCCCATCTGGAAAATTCATTGTTCTGTAGCCGACCTATATGGCCCTATTTATCCTCCAGTCAGGAGTCGCCCTGTGGGCAGCTGTGTAAACTCCAAGGGAAATGGGATATCGATTTGCAATCTCTTAGACACACACATACACACACACACACACACACACACACACACACACACACACACACACACACATGCACACACAGGGAACCACATTCAAAACAGTGGCTTCCGACATCTTTGCCACCGATTCCTTCTTACTCATCTTTTCCTTTGGCTTTATGTTTGGAAAATGACTCTGTCACTGGTACATATTAAGTAATAGTTTCATTCTTGCAGCAAGGCAAGGCTCCCTTTCTTTCAATGTCATCCCACATTTCTAAGACCCAGCCAGTAGTCACCAGGTGATCCACAAACTCAACTACACTGTATTGGTGTTCCCAAAGACTTACCGGCTGGGTCCCACAGAGCCTGCACGTAGCAAAACCATGGTGGTCTCCCACATGGGCAGTTTGAGGTCCAGCTGAAGAAATGCTGCTTTTCTCCTCCATCAGAGAGTCAGTGTGCATTCCTAACTCCAGTGACACCACTGGCTCATCTCGGCCCATCACCTGGGTACCTCAAGTCCCCATCAAATGTCTATCGAGAGTTTCTAGCTCTTAACTGGCCTTCCTCCGGTTCTCTGCCTCCAGCCCTTCATCTACTCTAATCCCAGCCCCCAAAACCTTCATGCTACCCCATCTGAAAAGCCTCCTTGGGAACATTCTGCCTGAAGCAAGTCTTTATTGAGTACCCATTAAATGGTAGTGAACCATTACGTTGAACACTTTATATCAGATCTACTATTTAGTCCCCACCAAATCCTAATGCTACAAGGTCTATTTTGAGCTCTACCTTAGAAGAGGAAATGAAGACACAGAAACTCAAAGAATAGGCTTCCTTAGGCAGAGGAGGCCATGAGCTCCCAACCCCTCCCCTTCCATTTTGGCTCTATTTCCCACTGAAAGGCGTCATTACAGTGTATGCATCCTCAGCTTGTACATAAAGCCTTTGGATTTAACTCCTGTAGTCAGTCACCTTGCCCTGCCCAGAGGCAGAAGGTATGCTTCAAAAGAGGCTCAGGGGCATGAACACAGAGGAGGTTCATGCAGGCTCTGGAAGATGTCTGGAAATGTCTAAACAAGAGCCACAGAATGTTGGGTCTGGAAGAAGGGAACTTGGCCCCTTAGTTTCTTTCCCAGATGACATGATAAAATGCTCTGACAAACACAACTTACAGGAGAAAAAGCTTGTTTGAGTTCAGTTTAAAATTATAGTTCATCACAGCAGGAAAAGTTAAAGGCGCAGAAGGTTGGAGCAGCTGGTCACATCACATCCACAGGCAGAAAGCAGAGAGCAATGAATGCTCAGTCCACTTTCTCCATCTACGCAGGATCCCAGCCCAAGGAATGGGAATGTCCACAGTGCCTGGGTCTTCCCACCTCCACTAAGCTAATCACTGTTCCCCTCCCAAACACACCCAGAGGCCCAGCTCCCAGCTGACCCTAAATCTCCACAAGCTGACAACTGGGATTAGCCATCACACTGAGATTCCAGGTAGCCATGTCTCGGTGACCCCACTGACTCCTCCCCCAATCCTACCTGGAAAGTGAAGGCTAGAGCCGGCTTGACTCCAGAGCCAGGGACCTCATCTGATATCCTGCTCCTCTCCCGTCCTTGATGCTCTCGTCTCTCACTGGCTCACTGGCTATGTTTGCCATGCCCCTTCCCTTTCCTCTTATCAAGAATAGGAATTGAAGTTCAAACCCACTATTCCCACAAAACCTTCCCTAATTCCTTGCCCACTGCCTCTCTCTTATGGCCATTATTACATAAAAGTCGCACCACAGAGGCCAGTTGGTGACTTGAATTCCCTTTCTATCCATAGAACCCAGTACAGGTTCTGGAACATTCAGTGCTGAAGAAGTATCTCTTACAGAAGAAGTGACAGACAGACCTAGCTATTTACAAACTCCAGATATTTTTCAGATGAAGAAAAAAATTCTGTGTTGCACAGGATATTTGAAACATCTAGATCATAAGCAGACAAAAATGTGCATTACTAGTATATAACTGAAAATAACCAAAATGACCACCAAAACATTTAATCAAGTTAAGGACGTGGGATATAATGGAATACTGCACAGATGTTAAAAAGGAGTATAGTTCATTTCTTCTGACATTAAATACCAAAAGCATTTTAAAGATAGAGAATGGTCACATGAGACAGAAATCAAACACAAATGCACCCATAGGCAATACTCACCATTACTTGTACCGCAATATTAAGACCCGTGTGTCCAGCCTTTAGGATTGGGAGATGTTATCAGTGACGTTGATGTTGATGAATTTCTGGATTCTTTTGCATTGTGACTATACTTATTTTGCATGCATGTTTTTAGAAGATGGTTATGGTTTCAAAGTGGAGTGAACCTGGAAAGCTCTTAGAGGGAGCAAGCTTTGTTGGAGGATGTGGTCAGGCTCTAGGGCAGGTGCCCACCAAGTGGGTCAGCTCCAAAGTATATTCCCAAGCCCTGCCTGTGAGGTCTGCTCTCTTCTTGCGAATAGCCTCGAGGGGGAAAAAGTCGGATTCTGCCCCCACTGATAGTCTCTTCTTACAAGATGAAGTCTTCCCGGCTGAGTAAGTCAGCAGCCACAGCACTTGCTATGACAGCCATGAGAACCCTGAGTCCCAACAACATTCACATAATTTGCTTTGTGTAACCTGTAACCCCAGCACCTAGAGGGCAGAGGCAGGCTGTCCAGCCAATAGCCAGTAACTAACAGATGAGCACCAGAGATCCTGTCTCAAAAGATGTAGTGGAGAGCAATGGACCCAACATTAACCTCTGACCTCCACACATGCATGCACACACACACACACACACACACACACACACACACACACACACGCACGCACGCACGCACGCATGCACGCACACCTCACACACCAGCACATGCACAAAGAGAGAGAGACCAGAGGATTAAGTCTCCCAAAATACAACTCCAGTCTCAGAATCAACACTGGCCTTAGGAACTCCGGCAAGAGTTGGGCTTCAGGACATTAGAAGAGGAGGTTAAAGATTCTACTTCCCTAATGGATTTAGGATAAAGCCGAGATTTATTAAGTACCTCACTTGTGGCTCTGTCCTTTAAATACAGCACTGGCTTCCTCCACCAACACTGGAGATATGCACCTCCCCATTCCAAAGAGGAGACTGAGGCTTGGAGGTTAGGCGGTTTCCCAGGAGGCCCTTAGCATAAAAGTGAGGAGATACTGAGCCTCTTGACTGAGGAATCCCAGTGCACTCTGGAGAACCATGGGCAGCAGGTTCCCACTCATGCTGAACTCATGTTCTCTCTAATCCTAAAGTTGGCCTTTATTCCATAGTGCTGCTGGGTAAAGGTCCCATGGTGGCAGAAAGACATAAAGCCTTAAGATATTGGCCTCTCCACCCTGGGACATCTTGACTGTCTGAAATAATCCCAAGAAGAATGGCACAGTGTCAGGATTTTTGTGTGTGTACACCTGTACATATATGTATCTATACATGCCTGACACAGGTCAGAAAACATAGCTCTCCAAGGCAAAGGGTCTTGGAAATTTGAGAATATGTTCTGGTAAATGTAAGGGGGAATCTCATTGTCTGCCAGGTTTTTCACACAGTGGACTTCAAGACAATAAAAAAAAGGATTAGTGGGGTGTTACCCTGGTGCTGTACAAGGTAGCACCTCCCACCCAGACTCACCCTTGTCCTTAACCTCCAGCTGTGACTCCTGGCTGTGGTACAGAGTTCCCCGGCTCACACCCTCCTCCTGACCTACACATTACTCTGATGGGTAGTGACCAGCGCCCAAGGGAACTACCTACATTAACCATTGCCTGTACTGTCACACACTGTCCCTGGCAACCTGCCCAGAGCAGGCAGAGCATGATCCTCAGACCTAGTAAGTGGTGACCTACAGATAGTTCTAGTCCCCTACAAAGTAGTACTGAAATAAAGGAAAAGGAAATCATGGCATTTGCAGACAAATAAATGCAACTGGATGTCATCATATTAAGTGAAATAAGCCAGACAGAGAAAGACAGGTTTCAAGGAGTGTACATGCTTGTGCAGCCATCATGGATGTCAGGGTTGATGTGCCTCCGAAAACTGAAAACAGAGTTTCCATATGATCCCACCACACCACTCATGGGTGTGTACTGGACGAATTCTAAGTCAGTATATACAGACACACGTGCACATCCGTGTTTATTGCAGTACGTGCACAGAACCAGCCTAGGTATCTGTCAATGGAATGGGTGAAGAACTGTATTCTTCTCTAGAGAATGGTGGGAGAGGGGCATCTCAGAGAAGTGGATGAACTTGAAATCGTCGTTAAGAGTTTTCCCTTACCATAGAATCTAGATCTAAATGTATGTGTGTCCATATATGTGGGAGAGTCATGAAACTAGAGTGGGGATCATGAAAGGGGAGGAAGAACTCTTGATGGATGTGGAAGGTAGAGAGAGCAACAAAACACATGTGCTAAGAAGAAAGCATGGCTAACTGGTAAAAAGGGAAACCAGCTGGGCGGGGGGGGGGGGGGGGGGGGGGGGAACCCCCGGGGGGGGGGGGGGGGGGGGGGGGGGGGGGGGGCGGCTGTAACTCCAGAGCTGGGGAAGCAGAGACGGGGGGATCTCTGGAGCTCATTGGCCAGGCTAGTGAACTGGAATGCTTCAGGGTTAGTGAGAGACCATATCTCAAAAAATAAAGTAAAGAGAAATAAAGGAAGACGGCCCATGTCAGCCTGTGGCTTCTACACACATGCGTACACATACGCCATGGACACATATACATCAAAAATGCTAAAGAAAGACAAAGTCGTCGTGGTTTCTCGCATACACAAAATCTATTGAAAAAATTTAAATGTAGAAGTGGAGCGGAGATATTTAGGAAGAGTGTAGGAAGGAGGCATTGCTCTGCCTTCCTATTCTCCCATTTCCTAGTCACCCTCCAGGACACACTTTGTGTTACTCTGTTCCTCATGCAGTCAGAAGCTCAAAGGGACACATGAACTGTATGTGAGTGTTTAAGTCAAATTTTAAATCTACAACTTACAGTAAGACACTCATTTTACATCTCAACCTCATAGGTGCCTACCTAGCAGGACCTACCCAGCATGCACCACGACAGCCATCATTTCACAAGCTAACCTTTACTACTCACAGTGAATGCTGATGGTTCCTGTTATCTGACCCCAAATCATAGACTTGATTTCCTGATGCACTGTGTGCATGTTCACAATGGAACATTCTGTCAATGGTAAGGACTAACTCGCTGGCTGTGGGTGCAGTGTGAGTGGCTTTTCTAAGCTCTGATTTCATCATCCGAGGGTGAAAATGTTCATTCTTGCAGTAGGTGAGGCAGTGAGAATTGAAGACATGTCCCTGCAAGATGCCATGCATGAGATCAGTGAATGGCTGGGGCATCACTCCTGGTTTTCCTTCCAGCTTCAGCCTCCAAGGTGTGGGGAGCAGGGCAGGATGGCTCAGCGTATTCTCTACAAAGGAGAGCAGAGCGCGCGCTCCTTTGTGTACACTAGCATCATCACTATCGGCAGATGCTTTCCTTGCTGCCCATCAAGATCCTTCCGTCTTGTCTTCTTTTATGTATGACTTGTCCCCCCACCCACCTCCTCACATCCAGTCTGTGTGCCATGAGCGTCTGAACCCTAGTCGGGTTTGTTCTTGTTGGTCTTGGTGCAACAGAGGCCCTCAGGACACACTTTAGAATGAGTTGTACAAGGGTCAGGCCCAGTCCTCACTCAGCTGTCCCAACAATCCAAGTCTTTCCCTTGCAGAGAGCAACTTGTACTCTTTCAAGGGCTTGCAATGGTTTCAGAGAGACCAGGAAGGAAATCCTTTTCCCCGCCTCCCAGATGAGAAGACGGTTTCATTTCACCTGCTCTGCAAGCTTGCAGGAGACTCTGCTAGTTGCTGATAGCACCCGGAGAAATAAGCACGGCTCCTAAATCTGAGGCTAGCTTCTTTCTGCACAGAGGCATCTGAGTGGGAGCCTAGAGCAGGTGGTGCTGCCTGTGAGTGGTGTGCAAATCCTGGAGACAGCCGAACAGCAAATCTAGTAGGAGTGAGTTTGGATTTTCCCAGATTACCTACTTACATCAGCCATAGTTCTTTGACACATCTCCGTGATTGGGTAGCCTTCTTTCTTTCCTTCCCCAAGCATCCAGACACCTATAACCCTCTGCCCACAGTCTCCACCAGTGGCTGGTTCCCGCTCCAGAAATCCACATTTGCCCCCGGAGAAGAGAAAAGAAGCAACATTTGAGGTTGAAAAGATCTGAGCCCCTCCTCCCCTTGTGGACAGGCAAGGTTCCACTATCAGAAGAATGAGCTTTGTAGAAATGCCAGCCTCCACTCCTGGCTCTTACTCCTGCCTAGTAAGTGACCCTGGCTAGCTGCTCATCAAGACTGTGTCCACATCTACAAAGAACAAAGAGCATCATTGCTATGGTTTTTATTACTATTATTCTGTAGCAGAGGATTCTGTAATATCAAAACATATCACACTTAAGCCCAGTTCCATGGAAAAGGGCTGATGTGTGACTCTGGAATGAAGGAAGCTCTCAGGAAGATGGGGCAAGGAGATGACAGAACAGAATGAAAGGGATGACAGCAAGGACAGGTGAGTCCTCTGTCCAGAAAGGTGAGTCCTTTGTTCAGACAGGTGAGTCCTTTGTTCAGATAGGTGAGTCCTTTGTTCAGACAGGTGAGTCCTTTGTTCAGACAGGTGAGTCC